TGGGGGAGAGAGAAAGAGACAGACAGAGAAAGAGAGCATGCACAGAATTCCAAAAAGTGATTGTAATTCACCCCATTCCCTGTAAGAATGAGTGCTAATGTCCAGGAGTTGATTCTGATGGTCAGTCAGATAAACCTAAAGTAATTTTAAGAGCATGTTCAAAACCTGTGGGCAGTGGTTTTGAAAGGAACATATCAAGAGCATAGGACAAGACTTAAGATTCTAAAGAGAAATGTTTGCAAAAGGCTATGAAGTTGTGCACTGGAGAATATTGCAGGATGAGGAATCTGAAATTTAGCTTGTGGGAAAGTATAGAACTAGGCACTAAAGTATGGAATTAAAATTTTCAAAGAACTAAAAGAGTAATTGTACTACAACGCAATTCACCTCATACCTGTGTTCAGTTAAACACTAATTTTCTCTTTCATGGTATTCTCAAGAGTCATGATGGTGAGAAGGAAGAGAGGAAGGAAGGGAGGGAAGAAAGGTAGTGTCTTTTAGATGACAAGATCTCCTTGTTCATGGGTTGGCAGACTTAATATTATGAAAATGGCCATACTCCCAAAGGCCACCTACAAAATCCCAGTGTCATTCTTCTCCAGAGATAGAGAAATCAATCTAAAAATTCATGCGGAGACACAAAAGGCCAAGATAGCCAAAGCAATCTTGAGGGAAAGAAAAAGAAAGCAATACTGAAGACATATTTCCAGACTTCAAACTGTATTATAGAGCTGTAGTAGCAAAACTAGCTTGGTATTGGCACATAAACAGACCTGAAAACCAAACCAAACAAATTAGAAGATCCAGAAATAAATCCACATACTTACCACAGCCATCTGAATTTTGACAAAGGAACCAAACATATATGTTGGGGGGAGCTCTTCAACACATGGTGAAATGGTACTAGGAAACTAGACCTCCATATGCAGAAGTTAACACTGGATCCCTGTGTCTCACTTTGTACTAATATAAATTCAAAGTGGATCAAAGACTTTGATGTAAGACCTAAAACTTTGAAACTCCTTCAGGAAAGAGTAAGGGAAACATACTACAAAGTTACAAGTCAGGATATAATGGAGGTACCTGCATCCCCATGTTCATTGCTGCATTATTCAGAATAGTCTAAATGTCCTACACCTAATGAGTGTATCAAGACAGTGTGGCAGGGCTAGGGAGGTGGCTCAGTGGTAGAGTGCTTGCCTTGCATGCCTGAGGCCCTGGGTTCGATTCCTCAGCACCACATAAGCAAAAAGAAAAAAGCCAGAAGTG